AGGACAGTGATAGGAAAGGTATCCTGGTTCACTGTATAAATAAGAATCTTGTCTTAGTTTCTAGGTTGACCAGAAATACTTAATTTAGGGCCTTCTGTGGTTGCATTCTATTGCAGCTTTGCTTTTGCCTTTGTTGGTGGCAAATCATAACTACTGTGATGTGAAGGCTGTAGTGGGATAGCTTCTTTCTAGTGCACCTGTGAGGGAAGTGGCACAAAGCAATTCTTAAATGTGGATTTTCTGAGGAGAAGTCTTCATATATTTATTTGATAGTGTAGTTTGCGGCAATGTGTACACGTACCACTAGAAGTGTATTTCAGATGATGTGGAGAATTAACTTAATTGTGGCTAACATTAAATATGTCTAATATTGCCTGCCCCATAAAACTCCCAACACTGATGCCCAATTCTGTAATCAGTCTTGTGCTTCAGAGACTCCTGCCTTATAAATTCACAGATCACCACTGTTACTGATGTGATACATATCCAAACGAGTCAGGATTCTTTTTTTTTGTCTACAGGTAATGAATAACTGTGCGAGGTGGGGAGTTGTTATGGCTGAGTTAGATTAAATCCTCTTTAAGCAACAATATTTGGTTTTTATTGTCAGTGTAACAGGTTTTTGCCAACAAAATGTACTGGCCAAACTCTAGGATCAAGTGTTTTCTTTTTTTCCTTAAGTTAGGGAGAATTCAAATTTCATTGCCTGAGTCTGCTGCTCTGAATTAACAACATGATTAAATATAAGAGGTAATAATCTCCATATCTCTACCTTAAATTTAGGACTCTCTAGAATTTGATAAATTTGTTATTGCCTTTTTTTCATGTTATTAAGGGTAAGGATAATAAGATCCCCTGAGACTGCATCAGTAAGTACATGGAAAATCTCTGCTGTCTGATCATGCCAGGGAGCTAAACTCAGTGTGAAGTCAGTAAGACAGCTCTTTAGGTTGACAGTAAATGCTGCAAAAGTATCAGGCTGATCTAAATCCCTTTGTTTGATGAAGACAGTTATGCTCATTGAAGAGTAAATGTCATTTGTGAACATTAAGGGGTTTTGCTGCCTCTTCCATATCTTTTGAATTTCCCCTGGTTTTCTCGTGTGATTCTTGCAAAATTCAGTCTGGTGGAAGAAAGGCTGAGTAGCAAATCATTGAATGATTTGTGGCCTGTAAAAGTTACAGTTGTTTTAAAAAGGAAAGATGCGATTCTGACTACTGTTTTTTTGAGAACATATCATCAACGTTTTCCTATGGCACATTTGAAATTACTTTTCTGGACCTAGTTTCAGTACATAATAGAAATAAAATAGATAGTTTCAGCTGAGAGGTAGAGCTGTCTTATTTGCATTACAGAATATGGGTTAGCAATTTTATAAACTTCTTCCAGTAGCCTGCCATAATGGGTAATTAATTGTAGCATTCCTGAGATCTAGATTTTGGTTTAAAACAGGCAAATACCAAGGACACAGTACTCCTTCACTGTCGCATAGCTCATCTTATTTTATGGTTATGTTCTTTCTTACAGAATTTTGTGCTCATTTCCAGTATGAACGTTTATCAAGACACTGGCAGGTGTTTGGTTTTCTCATAATTAAAGTTCATAATTCTAGTCATTAATTGCTTTAGAATTATTCAGATAGTTTACTGTACTCTGATCTTTGCATGAAAGAGCTAGTATTTCTTCAAAGCTTTATTTTGTGTTTTAATAAAAAGTTGCATTTCACTGGGGAAGATATGCGGATATGGGGCTTTTTGGAACTTTTTTTTTGTCTTTGAAGGAAGTTTATTCATTTACAGTACAGGCAGATACTATGATACTGTCCTAAGCTTACTGCTTCTCAAACAAAAAACCCTCCTCTGATGCCTCAGTACTAAGTTTGGATTTATACTTTTTATTTCTCTGTATGTTATCTTCAGTCTTTCTGTTCTGTTTTAGCTTTTCAATGCAATCCCCGTAGTAAGGTTTTGATACTAATAGGTTTCTTAGCTTGTTGGTTGGTTGATTGGTTGGTTGGTTTTCAGGTTTGTCCTCACAGTGGAGCACAGTTTTTCAGTTGCTGTGAGGTGGAAAAGCATAGAGTGGGATAGAAATGAAACCTGCAGAAAACATGTTATTCTTTAGTTTCTAGCTTACTCAGAAGGATTTAAACAATAAAATCTGTAAGAGGACAAGGAACATTTAATAAGAGCGCCTCAGGCTTCACTGAGTAGCAATTTCAGTAAAACATCTCCTGCTTGGAAATTTTATTCCCCCAAATCTCCCTAAGTTTCGTGAGCAAAGATACATAAGCTTCATCTTATGATCACTGTTCCATAGACCCCCTTTTTTGCCAGTTAATTTTAGCATAAAGGCCTACAGAAGGATGTTCTTTATTTTGCTTGTTTGGTCTTGTTTCCATCTTCAAAATATTTAGATTTTTCTAGGATGTCAGTGTTTGTGGTTGGTTTAGGGACTATATTTGTTTTTTTCCTGTTACAACTATTGTTAGAGATTTTAAATTGTGAAACAGATTAACAGCTAAAAGACAAATATTTTAAAGTTTAGAGGGTATTTATTTTCTTTGACTGGGTATCTTTCTCTCAAAACATTGTACATTGTTATAAATCAAAAGAATTCCATAGACAAACACTCTGTTTGACCAAATGTGTTTGCCTGGAATACCCAGGATTCTGATACAGTAATTTTATTGCAGTTGTTACAAACACAACACAAGTAATATTCCCTCTATTCTCCACTGCTTTAGTGACTAGGACTGCCATAATGTTGATGCTATCATAACGTTCATATTCTTACTCTCTCATCTTATAAGGTTATGGTCTGGCTAGTGCATTCTGAGTTGCACTGGGCTTTTTGCTCTACATCTCCTGTTGATGTTAAAGGACAATGTCTAAATGTTGGGCGGTTTTATTAGTAATATTATTAATAATAGTAATTCATGAAATGTCAGCACATGGAGCTTTCAATAGGGATGTTAATATTTACTTTGAATGACTGATTTTCACAATATAGTATATTTGGGATGAATATATGTGTATACACAGAGAAGTATCTGTGTGCTTCTGATTGTTCATGTCTTACTACATTTCATATTTGCTGTTTTGTAGCAATACTTAAGAATATGTATTTTACATAGATATATTTCATCATATTTTATGAAAGAAAATAGGCTTTAACATGGTCACATTGCTAAATTAACCAAGAAATGAGTCTTTGCCAAGAGATAACAAAAGTGATTTTTGAAATACAGGTTATAGGTGTAAGTTAGATAAGCCAATTTTGAATGATTTTAACGAAGTCTAATACTAAAATCCATATAGTAAATGGATAAATGAATCAGTTACACTGGCAAAAAAACAAATATGAAAAAACTAAATTAAACAGTCATTGATTCTCTTGAATCATAAATGCAGCTTTGCTAAGCAGATGGGAGGGAACAGTTTTCAGTGCGAACTAACATAACTTACTATGATAAATAAGGGAACATCCTTTCCAAGAAGAAATTTTAAAACAAAAGAAAGTTTACCTGGAATTTTTAGTGTGTATATGTTCACATAGGCTGACTTTCAGTGGCAATGATGTCTGATGGGTAGATTTCCATTGAAACTGTAACAGGGAGTCAGCATTATAAATCACATTTATTGAGACTGGAATTGGTTTTGGCCATCTTACTTGCAGTATTTAAACTCTGGGACAGTGGCTTGAGATTTTTTGCCTTTTGGGAACAGGAGGGGCATAAACATCAGGCTCTTCATATATCACCCAAACTTAAGCCCATTACCAGAAAAGTAACAGAAAGGAAAGCAAAGGAAAAGGTCAGTAACAGAATCATCTGTGGTGAATATTGGGCTTGCGTTAGAGGGAATTACATGGCAGAAATGTATGGGATGTCAGGAATTCCCATATCCTGAGAATGTCGTGTATTGCTTTCTGAATACCTGAACTGTCAAGCCTAGATGAGCCTTTGTGCGACAACTTGCAATCGAACAGAGCTTTTTCCTTTGTGTCAAGAGATGTGCTTTTGCTATCATGTTAAAATCCTTTCAGACTTGGCCACCTGTTAAGTTTTTCTAAAAAGACTTGACTGTGTGCACACTCAGCAAAACCCTCTTCATTTTTTATCCATTACATTGCCTGAAGATCGCCTTCACTGAACATAGTTTGGCTTGGAGATTAACATAACAGCACCTGCAAATGTTTCCTACTAACAGGATGCTTACAGTAGAGGAAGCAGTCTCCTTTTCAGTGAATGGATCTTCTCAGCATAGAAATGCTGTGCTGCTAGCTAGGCTTCTTTAGAAACACCTTGGGGTGAGTTTTATAACCATCTCCTTTTGTGCCAGGAGGGCTGTGCAGGCTGGAAGAGGAACAGCTGAGGCTCTCTCTGATCAGGCCAGGTGGGGAAGGGGATGCTCACCAAATTACAACCAGCTGTGGCTGCCTCTGCTGGCAAGCAGCTAAAAACTCTTTCTGCTTCAACACCTTCCCCCATCACCCCACCCCCTCACCCCCTTTCCTTCTTGATGAATTTCATCAGCCTTTTCCATCTTTCTGTAATGTAATCCTGTGCTTCACTGTCTAGAAGAGTGACTCCATGCCCTTGCTGCATCCTTGCAATGTCTGCCTGGCGGGGGGCCCACCGCCTCCTACCTGCCAGCCTAGGACAGCAGCTGCAAACGGGCAGAGGGCCTAAAGCATCACCAGGGTGGAAGACCCTCCTGAAACTCTTGTTCAGCTACTGAATGCTCTTTTTGCTCCCATTGATGTTTACCTGCAAAGTATTGCTTGATGTAGTTTGGGGAGAAAGGAAGTTGAAGCCCCCTCAAGAGAGAACTGGCTCTGCTTGGTTGGGTCTATGGAAAACCTGTTTTCCCCTTCCCCCAGTATGCTTTGTATGGCCAAGTAACTTTCAGCATTCAGAAGTAATATAGTAATAGTGGGCAACACTGGAGACACATGCAGACACAGAAACACTTTAAGTTCAAGAAAGGAAAAAAATACCTTCAAAAAGTAACTGTAGGCATCCCCTCTCAATAACTACAGTAAGCCAGGCAAACAGGTTGCTCTTGAACTCTCTATGTCCTCTCTTGCCCTTGTTCTATCAGATATTCCTGGCTCCCCCACATCAGGGTAAAGTTGATTTTACTATGGTCCGAACTTAAATGCCAACAATATCAGAGGAATCAGGCTAGCTTTACTTCTCTTCCTGCAACCCTGCCAAATACTAGCTTAACGCCAAGCATTGCAGAAGGTCATCTCAAAGAATGACTTCTAGAGTTGGTCGTAAACTCCCTTGAGCAGTCCAAAAGGTATTACACAAAGTCTATCCAATAATAGCACCCATATTTAATTTAGATAGTATTTTGGTTGTGCTGAAATCAAAGCAGGTTAGCAGTTTCCCCAGATGAATGACTGTGTTCCTTACCCTTAGAGAAAAGAGAGTTGTCATTTTTAATCTGATCACTTATTATTAGAAGTTTTGTCTTGCCACGGGCTATTTTTCTCATTCTTGTGAAACTGTTAGAAGGCTATCATTTCTTGTACCAGCCATAGAGTCCAGTCTCTTGATTTGGAAGTATTTTACAAATAATGTATAAAGCAGGAGTAACTGTCATATTATTGCAGAAATGATCAGTTTGGAATGGAGACTGCAATCCATAGGAGCATTCTTACAAAGACCTTACATAGCATCAAACCCTAAGCAGAGGTACAGATACATATTGGAGCTGTGGTTGAGGCTTCCCCGACAAATAAATGAGCATCTCCACAGAAGAGAATTTTTCACCCTCAGGGTTCATTCAAGGACACAGGTAGAGGGCTCCCCATCAGGACTGAAACCAGCAGTTAGCTAAGAATCTGACTGTCATCTACAGTTTGCTAATCTACACCTGCTACCATAGGCCTGGGTACCTTGTCTTTGTATTCCATCTTGTTGAAAAGCAACTGCTTTTAGGTCAGGACAAAAGGCATAAATGCTACGTAGTGATCACATATACATCACAGAATACTGGGAAATAAGGCTGGAGGAGACTCTTGTTGTCTAATCCATCCTCCTCCCCCCAGACTGCTCTGCAGAGGCTGTTGTTGATTCAGTCAAATGGTTTTCATATGCAGGGGAATCCACCAGGGTTACTGGGAAACACCTGTAGCTCTGTGGTTAAAGAATGTGCCAGCTAGTAAAAAAGACTAGTAGCTGTTACGTCACTGTGCGGAAATAAAAGCAAGGAGCTGCAACATGGAGGTAGGCTCTTTTGGAGGAGAAGGTGTTTTTGGTAGTGTAATAAAGTCTCAATGCCATCTGCTTTTGTAGATGCCCTTGGGACATCAGAAATATAATTCTAGCTAGTCATGGATGCAGAGGAGAAGGGTTTTAATGAGGGAGATTTTCAGTGAAAATCACGTCTCTGGAGGTACTTGGCTTTTTTGTTGCTATTTTTGCTTGTGAAGACTACAAAATGGGAAAATCTTGTTTTGCTTTCAGAGTCTGGGTTGAATTTACTTTTTCCTGAAGTATTTAGTTGTATGAGAACATTAAAAGACGTCCCTTGGGCATAAATAAAGGGGAATTGAAAGACAGCATAATGGATGTCTGTTATTTTAAATGGACTGTACTTCACCCTTTTTTGCTTATGGGTCCTGGTTATTTGCCTGGTTGTGTAGTGTGGCTGTACAGCCCTAGCTTGCTAGTGAGGCTGTGTGGGACAAATGCTTTGGGTTTTGTAGAGGAATCTTGACTGGAAGGGAGATTTTTCTCCAATGCTTTTGGAAGGAAAATAATTGTGAGAAGTTGTTGTTTCCAATTGCCTTGTGAACACTGACACATGTATTTATTTTTTTTTTGTTATCAAAGCAGAGTAAAATCACTGATAGACCCTTTCAAAGAGCGATCTTGAAACAGCACAGCACAGGCCTGAATTCAAGCCATTGGTTTCCCTTTACCACATACGGGAGACATCTTTCCAATCTCAGAATCTGAGACTGAATCATTTCTGGCTTTCAGCTAAACACATTTGGGACTAAATTAAATCTACCTGTAGGATGTAGTGCTGGGTTTGTTCTGCTTGAATTTTAACCTTTCTCAAGGAGAAGCTAGCGAGGTAAGTGCTGTATTAGTGTTTCAAATTTTATTATGTTTCTTATTTATCTTTACTACAAGTAACATCAATAATATGTATTTGTGTTCATACAGCAAAGTAATTAGAACAGTTGCATTAACCCTAGTAATAAATGCTATAATTATTTTACTTCTGAATGGATATGAGCAACACTTTAACAATAGATGTTGCAACAAAAGCAGAGCTTAGAACGGGGAAGAGCAGGATCCTCTTTACAAATGAGTCCAATTTATTAAATACACATCTGGCTTTGTTTTGAAGCAGCATTTTAATTTTGGTTCAGAACAGTTTGAAAGATGTTACTTAGAAGGAATAAATCTGAAAACAAAGGAACCACCTGTTGAAGTTTCTTCTTGTGTCTTGGTTCACCCTCTGGACCAAAATCCACTCTTTGCCCACTTCTGTTCTTGACTGTGTCCTACTTCATGGTCATCGTGTTTGTTTTTCGTATATTATAAGGAACATATATAAGCTAGATGAAAAGGAAGGGGGCATTCTAAACTTTAAACTGTACTGTTTTAAACCTTAACCATCATAAAATAAAAGGGAAGGCTTTGCTTGCTGGCTGGTATACACAGAGTGGTGTAGGCATGGTGAAGGACTTGTCTTTGGAAAGAGCAGTTGTGAGAGAACCACCTAGAGTGGCACCTTGGGAGTCTGTCTGAAAACAGCTGTTTCATGGGGTGGTAGTCATAGAATCATTTAGGTTGGAAAGGACCTTTAATGTGATAGAGTCCAATTGTTAACCTGACGCTGCCAAATCCACTGCTAAACCGTGTCCCTTTTAAAGGATAGGTAACATTCATGTCAAAGCGCATTTCTTGTATTTGCCTTAGCCACTAGTTTAGAAAAAACAACTTTCCCAACAGCTTTAGAGGCTTTACCAGTTGCAGTGTTTTCTGTGTCCTTCAAAAGGTTGGCAAAATCATCAACTAAACAGTCCTGAATCTGCTTTCTGAATATATATTGCACTAATATAATTCTCAGAGAGATCAGGGCACTCTAACATTTTCCAAGGGCTTACTGGAGCATTTGTTAGATTAATTTATGGAGCTTCAGCTTAAACGTTACTCTCCTTTCCTATTCTATGCATTTTACTCTAGAATTTATTATGGTCAAAACTCATGCTACTGGGACAGTCCTGGACCTAGCAGGCAGGGAAGACCCTGCTTGTGAAAAGGAGGTGACGAGTAGTCACATTTCCCTTATGTCCCCTGCTTGTGCTTCATACCACTGCAGGTTATGGCAACCTCAGCGGATATGTGGCTTCACCTCCCTCCTCGCACTCTAGCTGATGTCTCAGCAGGACATCCTGTCTGCTTCTGATGCTTATTCTGTGATTCTTATTTTCTGTGATAACTTTTCTAATTTCTTTGCTGTGTAGTAAGCCTTGATAAACTACAAATTGATGCCAGCAATGAAATGTGCTGTATTTCCCTTGCAGATACCTGCAGTAGTTTTTCTCCTGATTTTTCTAATTGGGAAAGTTTAAAGACTTTACATCACATGATGTTTTCTGAAGTACAAATAAACTAGTTCACACAAACCTGTTCTGAACTGGAAGTTGCCTTATGCTTGCAAAAGTAGTTCATAATTTCAATGTTAATGTAGCCATGTTATTGAAATATTAGGAGGTAGATTCATATCAGGTGGGTTTTTTTAAAAATGCTTTAGAGTGTAGAGCATGAAAGAGTATGGTATCACTACAGTGATACTTGTTCTCTGATGATTTCAGTTCTTCCACTTTCCTGTGCAGATAAATTATTTTGTAATACTGGGACTCAGTCTCATACCTTAAATGCTTTACATGAGGAAATACCTGCTTTTTTCTATAATTCTTATGTGCTAGTCAGTGTATTATGTAAACTGGAAACGTGTTGCTGTTCACTTTAGACATGCTTTTCCCATTACTCTCAGTTATCCTGCCCTCTTTCCGCCACCCCCTTCCCCACATTCTTGCTTCCTGCTTGGTCAGCAGCAGCACTCGGGAACTGATCGATCTGAAAGCTAACTGAATGCACCCTGCAAAAATGTGTGGCTTGTTCCTCCTGTTAAATTAATTTTGTCAGGTCTTGTGGTTTCTTTGGCATGTCTTCATTTGTTTATGTCAGTTTATTATTCATTTCTTGCTACTTAGTCATAAGTTGATATTTCTGTCCAAATAGTGAGCCCAGAATAAGAAAACACTAATACTTTTGCCTGGCTATTCTGCTGCAGTTGACCTATATCTAATGGTTTTTGGAAATTTGGGTAAGGATTCCAGTTGTCTTAAAACTGGGAAAACCAAAGGGGGTAAAACCAGTGGTGATGGTAAATAGTTTTAAACTGGAATTTGGTTTAACCTTGGAAGCTCTGGTGGAATTGTTCTGCAAATCTGTCGGTGGAGGGAGAGAAGGTATTAAGAAACCCAGCGGCCTTGTTTCTGGGTTAGACAGAAATACCTGCGATGAATACTTGTTTCTGGTCTGTCAGACTATACAGGGAAGAAATAGAGCAGCAAAGGGAAAAAAAAATCTTAATTTTCATGTTATGTAAACTACATGGGTATTTAAGTAATGATAAGTAATTCACTATGTGCTGCCTGCCCGGATCACAGGGGTATGGAGAAGCTCATGGAAGAAGGCCCTTGACTGATTTTCCTGAACTTGCCAGCTAAATGGAGTGCCAGTCTGCTGGCAAAGACAGTCGAGCACAAGGACAAACATGCGGCAGGCTTCTTCCTTCTTGTAGCAGGGGTGAACTTGGTTAACATGTTTGAAGTGTTGGTGTGATCTGAGCCAGCATATGAACATGCTGCTGCTTTCTCCTAGTCTTTTATTGGTTTGAAAGAAAGGGGGGAGGAAGTAATAACTTTTTGTCTTTTAAACAAACCCCACAATCCTTCCTTTAGAAATTTCGTAAGCACGTAATTGTTTACAAACTAATGAAAAGGAGGATCCCACTGTAGCATTTTTCTTAATTAGAATGATTCAAAAGAACAGCTTGAAGATAAATTCCATTGAGATATCAATAGTATTTTAATTGAGCTGTGGGGGGAATATCTGATAGTGTGACATTTTCTGTGATGTTGCTACACTGGGAAAAGTAACCTACCATAGTAACTAAAAATGGACAAGGTGTTTGGGTTTGTAAATCACCAATATGCTGACATATAGATAAATAACAGAATAGAAAGCTATAAGCAATATCATTGTTTCACTTAACTATCGACCATATGGCAACGTATTCTGAGATCAAATGGAGATACAGAGTTTATTACAGCTTTGTATATCAAACTCCCAACAACAGAGAATGTTACTGTTATTGTGCAATAACCCTGAAATCTTTGTTGTTACTAACTCCCACTTTTTGACATCAAGAAGAACTTTTATGTTTTAGCACTTTTATAAAGTAAAATTAATTTTCAATAGATAACTTTTTAATGGATTTCCAACTTTATATCACTACATTTTATATATACAATTTTGCTGAGCAAAATAGGATTGCTCCTGTGTTGAGATATTTTCAAAGCCTGACATTTACATTAGATGTGAGTATATATGATGGGGAGGCTTCTTTCTGTTGCTTGGTTTTTGATGTATGAAACTGCAAAATATTGGTAAAAATATGACACATACATTTATATTATAACCATATAATCTTCCTTATAAGAAAATGACATTTCTTTGCAGTAGCCAGCATGGCTTTCCTGAGTATTGCTTTGACTCTCCAGGTTTTAAATGGAATGACACTTTTGAAACATGACTTTGAGAGCAGTCTTGTTTATGAACAGAGATATACTGCAAAGGTTAAAGGCTTTTCATTTGTTGCCCCCCTTTTTTGTTTTAGGATTTGGGTGGGTTTTGGGTCTTGTTTTTAGGTTTTTTCCCAACTCTCTCTGAAATGAATACAAATTTTATTACTCAAGGTAACTTCCAAATTTTCTGATCTTTTAAGCAAGCAAGTCTCAGAGGTATTTCACTTACTCTGATGCATTTCCCATATAGAACATCACATTTGTCTGTTTCTCTTTTTTTACTGTCACTCAGCAATCTTACCGTGTTCAAGCCTTGTAGTCTGTCATTTGTTATAAGTACAATATATCCATACTCTCTGGTTTCTTATGGCATGCTGGTTTCCCCACTAA